AGAAAAGGCAGAAACCCTAAACACCGAATTTTTCGTGATCCAAAAACAACAAATTTTTCCACCATTTAATCCTTGAAAAAGCTGAATAAAGCTATTTACAGCCTGCAAATCAGATCATATGCCAAAAAAAAGAAGAAAAATGATAAAAAAATGACAAATTTCAAAGAATCCGTGAAGAACACTGTGCAACCCGTGTTCTTCACGGACTCGCCGATTCCGCACAGTGAATCGGCGAGTCACTGTGCGGAATCGTTCGGTTATCTCTAGAACCGGATGATTTCTGATTTTTTCACCAATCCAATCCCTTTTTTACGATTTCCGATTCGAACCGGACTCGTCCGGTTCGACGCGGCGTTTTTTAAAACGCTGGTTTATAACTTTATATGATCAATTAGAGGGTTTTTCGCCTTAAAAGGCTTCTTCTTTTACTTTGCTTTCCCATTTTTCTCTCTCCTCAGAAACGTTCCAAACTTTTAAAGAAAGAACAGAGCGGCGAATATCCATCATCCATTGTTGCTCTGTTAGGGTGACATGGCGGACGAGGTTCAGGTTAATGGAACAGTTTCAGAAAAAGATCAACAAGCATACGAGGAAGATGAAGTAGCAGCAAAGCCAGTGGAAAACGGTGAATCCACGAAAAGGCTCAAAGAACAGGTCTCTGATTTGCTCAGTAAGATCGAAACGCTCGAATCCGAGAACAGAGGCCAGAAGAAGCCGATTGAGAACGTCCGAGATGCCGAGGAAGCAGCGAAGGCGAGATTGGAGGAACTACATAGAGAGATGGATAGATCTTCTGAGGCTTCAAAGCTCGTCGAAGAGGAAAGCAATAGGGCTCTTCATATCATCACTGCTAGGGCATCGGAGCTTGAGATCGAGGTCTCTAGGTTACAACATGATCTCATACAAGTCATGGCTGAAAGAGATGATATAGTTGCAGAGTTGAAGGAGGCAAAGGATGCATACCAGCAGCTTCATCAGAGTAGCCAAGAGAAGGATGCTCAGATTAGGAACTTGGAGAAGGAAAATGATTCATTGATGGAGCAATATGGCAAAGAGAGAGAAGAGCTTCTGAAGTTTAAAGGCATTGTTGGAGACCTGAAGAGAGAGAAGAGTGAGAAGGAGGGAGAGGTTGTGAGGTTGCTCAAGCAGTTGGAGGAGAAGAGGAGCAATGGTGCTGAGGCTGAGAAGGGGTGGACAGAGGAGCAGAAGAGGCTGAATGATTTGCTTATGGCTTCAAAAGCTAGAGAGACGGAGTTGGAAGAGAAGTTATTTAACATGGAAGAAGAGAGAATTGAAGTGGAGAAAAGGGCACTGGAGTTGGAAAAGAGCAGAGCGGATTTGAAGGAAAAGGGGATAAAGTTCCCATGGCTAGCTGCTGCTGCTGCATCAACGGGCACAATTGCTGCTGCTGCTTTCATGGTTTATCTCAAATATTCCAGGCAAAAGTAAGCTTTTTCTCTCTCTATAAATTATATTAATTGAGTGAATAATATTGTCTTGGTGCTTATCGGGGATAAACACTTTTGATTCTTGAATTTTGTACCTGTAAAGCAGAGATAAGCCCTCTCTTGCTCCCTTTTTATCTGCAGTGATACACTCTCTAAATTAATACTCACAGAGTGATTGATTTTGCCTTGCTTTTATCAGAGTCAGTCTAGATTCTTCCATATTGAAACTTTAAGCAGAGATAATCCCACTCTCTCTCTCTTCTCACACACACAGACACACACACCACTACACACTCTCTAAATTATACTCATGGAGTGTATGATTTTTCCTTTCCTTTTTATTGGTTTATTGGTTATTGAGTGTTTGAAGCAGATATGAGCCATCTCTCTCTCTTTCTCTCTCTCTC